TTGCAGGCGTTTCATGACCAGACTAGGTAATATCATCAGTGCTAGAAGGAAGGAAAGTTTGCAGAGAGGAGGAGAACTTTGGGGTCTTTGGTGTTTTCTGAGGTTGGTTGTTTCTTTGCAGGCATTTCATGAGCAGACTAGGTAATAATCATCAGTGCTAGAAGTGTGTGGAGTTCACAGAGGTGGGGGGCAGGATTGTGGAGTCCTTGGGGCTTCCTGAGATTGGGTTATTTCCTTGCAGGCATTTTCCAAATGGTATTGGATCTCCTGCTTGAGCAGGAGGTTGGACTAGAAGACCTCCAAGGTCCCTTCCAGCTGATGATTCTGACTAGGTCACATCATCAGTGCTAGAAGGAAGGGAAGTTTGCAGAGAAGAGGAGGAGGGGGGGACTTTAGGGTCCTTGGTGTTTTCTGAGATTGGTTGTTTCCTTGCAGGTGTTTCATGACCCAACTAGGGAACATCATAAGTGCTAGAAGGGAGTGAGGTATGTGGCAAGGAGGAAGTGGATGAATGTGTGCTTCTTGTTGCTCTCTGAGCACAGTTGATTTCTTGCAGAAGTTTTGTTACCAGACTTGGTAACATCAGTGCTAGAAGGGAGTGGGGTTTGCAGGGAGGAGGACGAGGGGTGTGGGATCTTAGTGCTCTCTCACCTTGCATATGTTGCATTACCACACTAGGTAACACCATCAGTGCTATAAAGAAGGGGGAGTTGTCAACTGGAGCAGCAAGAGGAGGAGTTGGTAAACTCCTGCTCAAGTAGGAGACCCTCGACCCCCTGCTGACAAGCTAAAAGTCTGTAGATTCTCAATCATCCAGGTCGTGGTTGTCCCCAAAGATGCTTTTTTTCAGGAGGCAACTGGACTTCCTTGCTTTTTCTCTGAAGAAAGTCCAGTTGCCTCCTGAAAAAAAGCACCTTTCGGATTTCTGACAAGCCAACTCAGTTGGAAAGCCAGATTCACTTAACAGCCGTGATACTAAATTAACAATGGAACTGATCCACTGAACAACTGCAGTTGCTTTTGCTGATTAGGTAGGTTTGTTGCTATAGAAATGGCTGTTTAAAAGTTTGAAGTTGTGATGTTACCTTCCGCTGGGCTAAAGAGGGTTGGAAGTAGATGGCTTTTTCTTTCCTTTTCCCTCTTTCCACCATATTTCCCCCCTTTTTTTTTCTTTCCCCACCCCCGTTTTCTATTACACTTTAAAATTTTGTAAAGTTGGTAAAATTGGCTTTACTTAGCGACAGAAATTTTGGGCTTTGTTGTGGCCGTAAGCCGAGGACCACCTGTAGAAGTCCTTAAAGGGCTATTATTTGCTATTCCTTTCCAGGTTCACAGGGCATCCACCCCACCGGGATGGTCCCAGGTCAAAACCCGGCTAGCTTCTCCTCAGCATTCTCAGAACTGTTACGTTGTGCTTTTCAGACCCACAATCCGACATCAGAGCACTGCGGCGGTCGCAGGGACACAGGTAACACACCTATAACATTGGAAGCAATGAGAGATCAAAGAGACTTGTGAGTCTGGGATCTCCCAACCATCTACCCGTGTTTCTCCAAAAATAAGACCGAGTCTTATTTTCTTTGGGGTCCCAAAATAAGCACTAGGGCTTAGGTTTGGGGGGGGGGGTCTTATTTTTTTCCATGTACGGGAGGCCCACTTTTGCTTGCTCGCAGTGGGGCAGGAGGCCACACAGTACACCAGTGCCGCCACCGCAAGGTGAGGGGATAGAGCTGCCTCACGTGCCCCACACTGGCTTACCACAGGGCCCCGCATCCAAGCCACCCACATCATAACACTCGCCCCGTGGTGGCGGCTCCAGCAGCCCCGTCCAGCAGGGCCCCGCTGGCCACTGACCCACTTCTTGCTTGCGGCCACAATGGAGGAGGCCGAGCAATATGCCAATGCCGCAGCCATGAGGCGAGGCAGGGGTGGGTGGAACTGCCCCATGCGCCCCTCACCAGCTTACCTCAGGGCCCTGCATTCAGGCCATCCATTCCCCAAAACCTGCCTTGCCTCATGGCCATAGCACCAGCATACTGCTCGGTCTCCTGCTCCATTGCAGCCGCAAGCAAGAAGAAGTGGGCTAGTTGCACATGAGGCAGCTGTCGGGGTGTGGATGGCCTGGCTGCAGGGGCCCTGAGGTAAGCTGGTGGAGGTGCATGCTCCAACACCACCCTGCCTCACCTTGCTGCAGTACCTCAAACAACCAGACCGAATGGGCAGGAGGTTAGTAGGGCTTATTTTGGGGGTAGGGCATATATTAGACATATGTGTAAAAAAGCCCGTGTTAGTCTTATTTTCAGGAAAGCCGTATATCGGGTGTCAAACTCAATGTCATTGAGGGCCACATCAAGACTGTGGTTGACCTCGGGGGCGAGGGGGACATGGCCGACTGGGTGGGTGTGGCTGACTGAGGGGCGTGGCCAGCTTGTCCCCTCTTCCCCAAACTGCTGTCATGTTTCTTCTTTGTATTGGGTAGACCGGGCCAAAGCCACGCTAGCCTAATATTTCCTCTTCACTTTGGGTAGACCGGGCCCTTACATTTTCCAGGATGGCCCCATGGGCCTTGTGTTTGACACCGCTCATCTACATCCTCTTTTGCCTCTTTCAGGTTGTTCAAGACGCAGCAAATGCACCAGTAGAGACAATCCTCCCTTTGGAGGAAATTAGCCAAATAGCAGAAGAATCGACTTTGGCTGAACTGGGTCTGGGAAGCTTCAGTCCAGTGGGTCTAATCATGAAGATCTTGGAGTCTTTGCACTTGGATATGGGGCTGCCTTGGTGGGGAGCCATTGTAGGAGGTAAAGAGCACCGCCAAGATTGTTAAGCAGATCAGAACAGAAAGGCAATTTTACCTTGATAGAAAAATAAAGATATTTTTCCCCACCAATAAAAGGCACCAGGTCTTATTTTCGGGAGAGTCATCCACTGACTCACCTCACTTGCACTCGTTGCTCCCGGCCTCCTTTTCGTTATCAGAGGCCTTCAGGAACTTCTTTTGCATCCGGCAAGGCCAGCAAGGCCTTCCTGAAGGAGTCTGCAGCCGCTAACAGAGCTCCGGATCGATTTGGATCTCTGTTATCACCTCCTGGCTCATATTTAACTGGTTGTCCAGGTATAATTCAAGGTGTTGGTTATCAACTTTAAAACCCTATGGGGCTTGTGGCCAAGTTATTTGGAGAACCTTTTCTCCCCTATTATATTCACCCACCAGATTAGCATATTATACACATCCCCTAGATCAGGGATTGTCATGTCGTGGGGCCACAAAAAAGGGCCTTCTCGGCAGTGGCCCTTTCTTGCAGAGAAAGGGGTACGTTGGGCCCTCACTCCGTTTTGCTTGTCCAAAAGTCCCAAAGGTACTTTTTTTTTTCAAGAGGCAACTGGACTTTCTGGTTTTTCTTCGAAGACATTTCACTTCTCATCCAAGAAGCTTCTTCAGCTCTGGTGGGATGGCGGGGAATGGAAGGATTTATGAACCTCCAAGTGACCTCAATGACTCTCTTAAAAGGATGCAGATGACCAGCTGTCTGCAGGGAGGATAAAACCTTCCATTCTCCACCATCCAGCCAGAGCCGAAGAAGCTTCTTGGCTGAGAAGCAAAACGTCTTCAAAAGAAAAACCAGGAAGTCTACTTGCCTCTTTTGGAAAAAAAAAAAAAAAAAAGCACCTCTGGGACAACCATGACCCCTAGATGACTGAGAATCTCTCATAAACACTTGTCCAAAACTCCCTAAAAACGGGGAGTTTGACAGGCTCAGGGATCTCGAATTGGAGGCAGATTTGATTGTGGCTGATCTGGTTGCGGTGTTAACTGTCATGGGGATGGAGTGGGTTTTTTTGTTTTAAATGAGATTTATTATACGTTGGGATTTTTTTTTTCCCCCATTTTTGTAAACCTGGCAGAGTCTCCTCCATGTGCGTTTGGCAGCTGTAAACGTTTGTTTGATAAATAATAAATAAATAAATATTCAAGAAGGCACAAGCCAGGGAAATTTTGATGAGCTCGGTCAGGAATTGTATTTTTTTTTAAAGTTTTATTGTTTTTTAAGACAAGCATAGACAAACACAACATAAAAACATCAGGCCATCTTCCATATATATATACATCCAGCGTGTCGGTTGGTTTACAAATTGTTTTGTGCTTCCACTTCATAGTCTTCACTTACAATTACATTGTATATGTTCTCGTATTGTCAATCAAATATTCCTAAATACATTAATATCATTGTTAATCAATCATTTGGCTATACTATCCATTCATGTTTTACAAGGTAATCCATATTTTACTTAATTTGTTTTATAGCAGTTCATATTATCATTTCAAATCTATCCTATAATCATTTTGTAGATATAATAAAAATAATACACCTTTATATATTCATTATATTATAAAAATCTACTTATTTCATTACCAATTTCAGCCTGCCAGTTCTCCTGGAGGTAACCGAAGTCTTCTCCGCATCTCAATTTTTTTAGGAACCCTCCTGGCTCGCTGTTTGGTTTTTCCCATCATTGTAAAATGCCAGCAACAGGCAGTGAACCTCAATAACCATTATCCCCAAATGAGCGAGATGAATTCCAGAATCAGCGACGCCAGGAAGTCAGGGAATCAGAAAGAATGTAAGTTGAGAGTGCAAGAGATGTCTGGATTGCCTGGAAGGAATTGATGAAAGTGGGGAGGGAAGGTGGAAGGAAGGAAGAGAGGAAGGAGAGGGTGGGGAGGAAGGAAAAGGGGAGAGAGAAGGAGGGAGAGGAAGAAGGAAAGAGAAGGGGGGGGAACAAAAAGGAAGGAAGGGGAAGGGGGAGGAAGAAGGAAAGAAAGGGAAGGAAGGAAGGAGAAAAAGAGGGAGGGAGAAGGAAGAGAAAAAAGGGAGAAGAAGGGAGGAGGAAAGAAAAAAAGGAAGAAAAGAAGGAAAGGGTGGAAGGAGGAAAGGAAAAGGAAGGAAGGAGAGAAAGGAAGAAAGAGAAAGAAAGAAAGATAAAATTAGGGATGTTTACTAAATATTGCTCATCCTGAAAGTATTTCTCTTTTAATCTCCCAGTTCTGAAGGTTTACATGGAATTGAACCAGTACCAGAAAGTCCATAATCTTAATCCTAAAGTAGGATTCCTCGCACCCTTGGTCCAGGTCAGTTTCCACGAAGCGCCCACCTGACCCTTAACAAATTGCTTGCAATTTGTATTAGCTACACGGCTTATCGGCTTGACCTCTTCTTCCCTCTTCGGTCTCAGATGCCTATTTTCATCTCCTTCTTCTTCGCCCTACGCAAAATGGCGGAGTGTCCTGTACCCAGCATGCAGACGGGGGGATTATTGTGGTTCACGGATCTCACAACCTCGGATCCTTACTACGCTCTACCCCTGGTAACAACTGCTAGCATGTTGGCTGTTCTGGAGGTAAGAGTTGGTTATGGTGCTAAGCCAGAAACCGGGATGCTGGGAATTCTAGTTCCACTGTAAGCATGAAAGCTGGCTGGGTGACTTTGGGTCAAGTGAGGAGTTGTTCTAGTCCAGCCTTTTGCAGGAAAACTGACTGGGTGACTTTGGGCCAGTTGCTAGGTGACTAGGAGTTCTAGTCTCACCTTAGGCATGAAAGTTGACTGGGTGTCTTTGGAACAATCAGCACAAGGCCGTGAGTTCTAGTCCTGCCTTAGTCATGAAAGCTGATTGGGTGACTTTGGGCCACTGCCTCCCTCTCGGCTCAACCCACCTCACAGGGTGGTTGTTGTGGGGAAAAGAGAAGGAAGGAGGAGTTTTAGGCATGTTCACTACCTTATTTAGAAAAATAACAAAAGTGGAATAAAATCTTTTTTTTAAAAAAAAAAAAAGTGAGGGGGAATTCAAGGCAGTCTCTTGATTTTAACCATTGCTTAAGACTTACCACAACTCCCTTCACTGCAGTGCCTGGATCCAAGATCAAAATTGGCTGGAACCTCCCAAAACATTAATTATTTTTTTCTGTTATGGCCAGCCCAAATTTCAAAATGATCCCCTTAGGGAGAATTCGAAGGGGGGATGAAACAGATGTGAAAAGGGGAATTTGTTGAACAGGGTTCCCCAAGCTTGACGACTTTAAGACCTGTGGACTTCAACTTCCAGAATCCCCCAGCCAGCATGAATTCTGGGAGTTGAAGTCCACAGGTCTTAAAGGTGCCAAAATTGGGAAACCTGCTTGATAGAATGTCAAAACTTCTCATGTAGTGACATCATCTCTGTCCTCCGCAGCTTGGGGCAGAAACAGGAGTCTCGAATCCAAGTTACCACATGATGAAAACAGTTTTACGAGTGATGCCTATCCTGCTGTTGCCAATCACGATCAACTTCCCCACGGTGAGAAAGAATCATTCATCAATATGTGGTACAACATGCCGAGACGAGACGAGGAGGAGGAGGAGAACTGTGGGGTCCTTGGGACTCTCTGAGTTTGGCTGTCTTCTTGCAGACATTTCATAACCCAACTATGTAACATAATCAGTGCTAGAAGTGTGTGGAGCTTGCAGAGACGAAGAGAATTGTGGGGCCCTTGGAGCGCTCTAAGCTTGGTTGTTTTCTTGCAGACGTTTCATTACCAAACTAGATAACATCATCAGTGCTAGGAGTGTGTGGAATTTGCAGAAATGAAAAGGAGGAGAACTGTGGGGTCCTTGGGGCTCTTTGAGCTTGGCTGTTTTCTTGCAGACATTTCATGACCCAACTAGGTAACATAATCAGTGCTAGAAGTGTGTGGAGTTTGCAGAGACGAGAAGTAGGAGAAATATGGGGCCCTTGGAGCTTTCTAAGCTTGTTTTTTTTTTCTTGCAGACGTTTCATTACCAAATTTGGTAATGTAATCAGTGCTAGAAGTATGTGGGGTTTGCAGACATGAGGAAGACTGTGTGGTCCCTGGGGCTCTCTTGAGTTTGGCTGTATTCCTCCAGATGTTTTATGATCCAGCTAGGGGACATCATCAGGGTTACCGGTAGAAGGGAGTGGGATTTGCAGAGAAGAGGAGGAAGACTGTGGGGTCCTTGGTGCTCTCTGAGCTTGGTTGCTTTCTTGCAAACGTTTCATTACCCAACTAGGTAACATCCTGAGTGCTAGGTAATGTGGGAGTTTGTAGCGATCCAGCCAGCACACAAACAAATAATTCTGCAGGATTCATTATATAGAAGAAACTTCTTTATAAACATGATGCATGTTTACAATACCCATGCAGCTCTTGCAACATGGTAGAGAGAAGAAGTAAGAAATACAAGAACAAGCACTAGAACTCTCAAGCAAAGACAAAATGAACTCTTTTATACACAGAGCAGTTAAGCTAAGCCATGCCCAGGTTCTAAACTGCCTTGCATGGCTCACACAATAAATCCTGTGTTTCAGTCACCAAACAGTCCCCATTGTTGCCATGCCTATTTCAGTTCATGAATTCTTATACACTGATCGGTGACATCATCAGGAACATTAGTTTGTGGAGTGGAGGGGGAGAAGGAGAAGGAGGACTGGGGAATTATCTGAGCTTGGTTGTTTTCTTGCAGACCTTTCATGACCCAACTAGGGAACATCATCAATGCTAGAAGGGAGAAGAGGAGGAGGAGGACTGAGGGGCCCTTGATGCTCTCTGAACTTGCTAATTTTCTTGCAGATGTTTCATGACCCAACTAGAGAGCATCATTAGTCCTAGAAGGAGGAATGGGAGGGAAGGAGGAGAACTGTGGGGTCCTGGATGCTCTCTGAGCTTGGTTGCTTTCTTGCAGACGTTTCATTACCCAGCTAGGTAACATCCTCAGTGCTAGGTAACAAATTAGGTGACATCATCGGGAATATTAGTTTGTACAGCGGAGGAGAAGAAGGGCAGCGGGGAGAAGAGAAGGAGGACTGGGGACTCTTCTGAGCTTGGTTATTTTCTTGCAGACATTTCACGACCCAACTAGGGTACATCATCAGTGCTAGGAAAGAGTAGCATTTGTGCAGTAGAGGAGAAGAAAGGGAAAAAAGAGAAAGAAGGGTGAAAGGAGAGAGGAAAGGAAGATGAGAAGGACTGTGGAATGCTCCGAGCTTCATTGTTTTCTTGCAGACCTTTCTTGACCCAGCTAGGTAACATCATCAAGTTGTTTACTGTCGGGTTTGGGGTTTGTTTTTGTTTTTGCCTTTCCTGCAGGCCATCTTCACCTACTGGCTGACCTCCAACCTGTACTCGCTGGGCCAGGTGTTGTTGTTACGCCTGCCATCTGTTCGCACATTTTTCCGCATCCCGAAACAGCAAGTTCACAAGCCTGCGGAGGGAGAAACCCAGAAGGGAATGATTGACAATTTAAAAGATGGTGAGAGAGAATGAAAAAAGGGGGTTTGAAGGCTGGGATAGGTTATGTCCTTCTTTAAAGTCCGGCCCAAAACTATGATTTGTTTCCATTAATTTGGTTTTCTTTTCACTATGAGGGGAGTATTTCAAATGGATCTTGACAGACTAGAACACTGGGCCGTATCTAACAAAATGAAATTCAAGGTAGAGAAAAGTAAAGTCCTACACTTAGGCAAGAAAAACCCAAAGTACACATATAGACTGGGTGAAAGCAGGCTCAATAGCAGTAACTGGGAGAGGGATCTTGGAGTCTTAGTGGACAACCAGCTTAAATATGAGCCAGCAGTGTGCGGCAGCAGCCAAAAAGCTAATGCAATCCTAAATTGCATTAACAGAGGGATACAATCCAGATCAAGGGAGGTATTAATACCACTCTAGAAAGCCTTAGTAAGACCACACCTAGAGTACTGCATCCAGTTTTGTACATCACATTATAAAAAAGATGTTGAAACTCTTTTAGAAAGAGTGCATAGAAGAGCAACCAGGATGATGAGGGGACTGGAGACTAAAACATATGAAGAACGTTTACAGGAACTGGGCTAGTCTAGTGAAGAGAAGGGCCAGGGGAGATATGATAGCAGTCTTCCAATATTTGAGGGGCTGCCACAGAGAGAAGGAAGGGGTCAAGCTATTTTCCAAAGCACCCGAAGGCCAGACAAGGAATAATGAATGGAAATTGAACACTGAGAGATTCAACCTGGAAATAAGGAGACATTTTCTGTCAGTGAGAACCATCAACCGATGGAACAGAAGTTGCCTTCGGAAGTTGTGGGAGCTTCATCCTTGGAGGCTTTCAAGAAGAGACTGCCGTCTGTCAGAAAAGGTGTAAGGCAGTTGGACTAGATGACCTACAAGGTCCCTTCCAACACTGTTAATCTGTTAAGGTGAACTTGTCTAATCCTTGATCATCATCATTGTCTTTTAATGACCCCATAATCCCTTGCAGGGTAGAGTCTGGGCAACTGAATGGAGAGCTGAGTGTTTACTGGCCGGATGCCTTTCCTGTCGCCAATGTGGAGTTTTATTCAGCAGATATATTCCCATTGTGCCCAGAGAGAGAAATATCTGCCACTACCTAGGATCGAACTCACAGCCGCCTGATTGTGAGGCGAGAGCTCCATCCCTAGGCCACTGTACCACTCATATCTAGCCCTTGATGCCGTCGTTTATTCCTGGCTTATTTTAGGGTTTTTCCCCAGCTTCTGTCTAACCCAGTGGCCCAAGAAAGAGAACAGCTAGAAAGTCACTGTTCCTCAAGCCAAGCGGAGGTTTTCTTGGTTTTCTTTGCAATGTCTTTTTTTTTTCCCTTTCCCTCCCTGGCAACAGTTTTGTTTCCCCCGTTTTTCTTCTTCAGCACATGGCAAAGATGGGGAGCTGACTTTCATATATTAAATCACACTTGGAAACTAGTAATGAGCAAAAAAAAAGGGCAGGGTTCCAGTTAACACGCCTGACGGAATCGAAACTCCAAGGCAGGCATATTCCTCATCAAAGTATAGATTTATTTGGCATGTCATATTGGCGCATCTGGAGAAAACCCAACTCTGAAGGACTCAAGGTTTTCCCCACCCAAATCAAAACCTCAAAAGTTTCCGTCACATAGTCCAATCGGGTCACAGCCCCAATTCCGGCTGGCTTCAGTCCACACTTCTCCCAAAACCTGGTAGAGCAGCCTTGGCTCCCACAGGAAAGGGTGTTATTTGGCTACATATCCCCAGCTATCTCTACCTCCCTCACCCTCCTGTTCTCACAGCTCCAACCAGCCTTGCTGTGGCAGCCCTGAAGATGCTCCCAAAATGGCTTCAGGGCTGACAGGCTGCCCCCCTCAGTTAAGAAGGACCTCCTGCAAGAAAAAAATCAAATGGAGGTTAACCTATGTCAGACAACCCCTATTCAGGCACGAATCTAAAATCTTTTTCACCTCATAGTTGGTCTCCCCTTATACTGCGATGGGTTTCAGGGCTGCCCGGTCTACTGGTCTTAGCTGAGAGCTTGTGGCCGGCTTTAACTGACGGCTATGAAATACTGGATGCGCTTTCCCTAACAGGCGTGGGAGTCTAAGCTGAACAGTTATCGGGTTTATCACTTTCACTATGGGAAATGGTCGTATGAACAGACCTAGTGGGTAGGCAGAACATACCTTTTCACTGCATGATATATTACCTCAGCCTGTTCTCCTCCTCCGCTCTCTTCTAGGCTGGGAGACCTTCCAGTCCAAAAGACGACTACAAGAACGAGAGGACCGTATCAAAAACCACCTGACATTAGCAGCGTCGGGTAAGTCGCTTGGATGGGCAGTCCTCGGTTTTACGACCGTCGGTTTAGCGGCTGCGCAAAGTTAACCATGGCACTAGGGGGTGGGGAAGTGACTTGCCACATATGGACATCTCAGCATCATCTCTACTGTTGTCACATGAGCAAAATTCAGGGTGCTTGGCAACCCGCATGTATAGGTAGTCCTCGACTTAACGACGGTTCATTTAGTGACCATTTCAAAGTTACAGCGGCACTGAAAAATGGACTCATGGCTGTTTTTCGCAGGGACAACCTTTGCAGCATCCCCATGAGGATCATGCCCTCAAAATTCAGGTATTTGCCAGCTGGTTCATATTTACGACCATTGCTGTGTCCCGGGTTCATGTTTATCCAGCAAAGTCAATGGGGAAGATGGATTCACTTAACAACGAGGTTACTAACTTATCAAGTGCAGTGATTCCCTTAACAACTCTGGCAAGAAAAATGGGACACTTAACAAATGTCTCACTTAGCGACATAAATTTTGGCCTCGGTTATGGTTGTAAGTCGAAGACTATCCGTACAGGAAATCCTCAACTTACAACAATTCCAATAGTTACAACAGCAGTGAAAAAAGTGACGTACGACCATTTTTCACACTTACAACCATTGCAGCATTCCTTATGGTCACGTAAGTTACATTCAGATGATTGACAATTGACTCACATTTATGACGGTTGCAGTGTCCCATAAGTCAGGTGATCCTCTTTTGCGACCTTCTGACAAGCAAAGTCCATGGGGAAACCAGATTCACTTAACAACCGCAGTGATTCACTAAACAAGTGTGGCCAGAAAAGTTGTAAAATGGGATAAAACTCACTTAAACCAATTTCTCCCTTAGTGACAGAAACTTTGGGCTCGGTTGTGGTCGTAAGTCAAGGACTACCTGTATTTAATGCTTGAAGTTGGGGAAGGAAGGCAGATGGCTTGCCTTGGGACAGAATTCTTATTTTTCACGAATGAAGGCAAATATACATCATCCTCTGGGCCACTGAATGGAGCTGAGTGCTTTCTGACCGGATGCCCTTCCTGTCACCAGTGCAGAGTTTTATTTAGCAGATATATCCTCATTGTGCCAGAGAGAAATATCTGCCTCTCCCTAGGATCGAACTCACAGCCTCCTGATTGTGAGGCGAGAGCTCCACCTCCAGGCCTACACACACACACACACACACACACACACAAATATACAGGCAAATATACATATCCCAGGATAATATTGCATAGATCCAATCTGGGTCGGTCACTGGGACCAGAGGTTTTGCCCTCCGAGCTTTCGGACTTGTGCTTGAGCCCATCTTCAGGGAGACTTCCTGCAAAGTTGGTTTTCCTTTAGTGCCATTGTGATTCTCAATCCTAACAATTTTCTGTATAAGTAACCAGGTTACCTACCCAACTCACGTATGAAGGTAAATAAACATATCCCAGCATCATGTTGCAGGATCCAATCTGGGTCGGTCACCGGGACCCGAGGTTTTGAATGTTCAATTTACCTACATTCAGTTTTGCAGCTACTAAGATTGTTAGCTGAGCAGGGACAAAAACAGCCAGGGAAATACTTGAAGACTTGCCCCTTTTCAGTCAACTGGAGGGTTGATTTACCTCCATCTTATCAAGTCCTTAGGAGCCCAGACCTTAGAAGCAACAGCCAACAACTTAATAGCTGGCCATCAAGACTCCAATCATCAACTAAAAAGCCACGCACAACCAGGCACCACGTAAATACTACACCAGCACGAGTCCAAAAGCATGGAAGACGAAACCTGTGGTCCCCATGACCATCCCAGATTGAATCCTGCACATTCTTATTTTTTTTTGTTCACTCGCAGGGCCGTTGCGTCAGACCTTTGCCGAAAACCCCTTGAAGGACCTGCAGCTCGAGGCTAGCAAGCCGCCGCCGAAAAAGCGACCCTGGGAAGATACGTTAATCTGAAGGCCACAGGACTCTGCTCCAGTTCTCCTCCAGTTCCTTGTCCCCCTCGTCGTTCCGTTCATCTCTAATAAAGGATTGGTTTTGTTTTGCTCCTGCCTGTTGTTGCAAGCTAAGAATCTGAAGGAAGTACCTCAACTTACGACCGCCCATTCACTGACCGTTTCAAATCAAATCAAATCAAACATTCATTGTCAGTGCACAACATGTGTACCATGAAATTGAAAATTTAAATCGCCGGGATACGAGCTTTCTTTCTCCAATCCGGCGTGCCGGTTCTTTTCCCTGCCTTGTATAGGGAGTCGACTTA